TTCCTAAATTTCTTCATTACAAAAGTAAATTATAATAGTAACACTAACTACCTTACCCGGCGTCTGATTCGGTTGCCACGGGTCACCTTTAGGTCATGGTACTGGGACTGTCGTGGCTTGTGCGGCGGTAATCTTGTATAACGAGTAACGTGCAATTCCCCAATCATTATTATAGAAAGTGGCATATTGATTGTCTGGGCAAATGGATTTGAAAGTGACACCTTTTGGCATTGGAAAGAGTGGTTTACGACCACCCAATGAGAAATGTTTAAAGATGCACTTTTGTACTATGCGACGTACTGGTTGTTCACCCAGGTGTTGCCCTTGCTCAATATAATCTAAGATTTAAGAGAAGGTTTTATTTTTAAATATATAATGAAATGTTTCTCAAAATTGTGCTATATTTTATGAATCTTATCCTTTATGGAGCTTCTTCATTCGGAAAAAGATGATGATTACTTCCTTAGGGGTCCGTGTGTTATTCCAGCATTCGATTCTCAAGCTAGGGAAATGGTAAATAGAGAATAATACATGGGCGGGCGTAGATATGGAATTTCTCTTCGAGTGTTTAACTTGATAACTCACGAGTGAGCGCAGCGAACTTGTGAGATATCGAGTTGAACACGAGAACGTGAGGCTCAGTTTAAAAAGGAGGCAAGGTTACCTAACTGGTTTTAAACGGTCGTGTGTCAAGGTTGATGTGGGTGCGGGCTGTTAGAAACCTCTAAACTGGAATTTTTTTAATTTTAAGGGGGGTTGGGTGACTTTGGCTGTGTTACAACAAGATCTACCAGATGGCTCCCCTAGGGCTCTGTAATGCTCTTATTATCTCCTCTCCCTGGCGTTCAAATGCCTAGAAGTACATAGTTCAAAATTTGTCGAATCAAAAAGTCAAAATCAAATCAAAGTCAAAATTCAAATTGTGATGGTTTACATTTTCATCTAGTATTAGAGTCGAATTAACGACCCACACGGAATCTACTACTTGAACAGGCTTGCTATGTGTTTGCAAAAATTTAAAGCAACTGCCGCCCTTTAATAAGAGGAAATAAGTTCCGAGGGTGCCTTGGCTGACTTTGCACGCTCGCTCGCGATAACGTTTGAGCTACGTGTACGAAAGGGACTGGACATAAAGGGAACACTTTTTTACCTTTTCCTGAGGTTTTTGTCACATTCGTTGCAGCCCATGTAAAAGTGGTTAGCTGAACTGCTACAAGCAACGCCAAGGGAAATCGAAACCAAGAAAGTTCATCTTCACCGTATCGTCACAAAGCGGTTCAACTGTCCAGGCTTATTTCGACTGCTTCGCTTTGTGATCTCTTCACTATGTTATGTTCTTCTTGGCTTTAAAGATTTTTGTGATATTTTTGTGGAATACATTACATAATCTTTTTCGTCACAATTACCACAGAGGAATTCGTGGCATCTTAATGGATCTCATGGTTCACTTTGTCTTAATTCTTTTTTTGACATTCGATGTTGTCATCGTGTAGAAAAAGTCTTTCTTCAAAGCTAAAAGAACTGCTTGAAACAAAAGATGTAAATACAGGTAACAGAAACTTGCTTTTAAAGTATTTTATTACACTCAGTGTAATTGAATAACCAGTTGATTTCGACTCTATTGCTTGTGACCTTTGAAAATTTTTTGCCTTAGTTAACCTCTTAGCTGATAAACATCTTTACCTTTTTACAAATGTTAAAGCTTCTCTTCGGGAAAACATTAGCAACCGAACATTTTCAGCTGACAAATAAGCCACCGAGCAATATGTTTTTATCCGAAATTTTGAAGCCCATCTCCTCACTCCAACTACTTACAAAAACTCTTACTTATTTTCTGAATCTTAAATACCTCAAGATTAAGGAATCAAGGAGCTTGTTGTTAAGTTCTTTGTTGTTCATTTCGAATTTCTTGTGAGATTGTTTGGTTAGAGTTCTAAAACTATGTTTACTCCGCCACGGTTAGCTGTCCTTTAAGCCCAAACATGCCAATCGATAGGGTATTAAAGAACGTGTAATTAGGGGTGAATTGTTAGAAGAGAGACAGAGTCTCAGAGAGTGAAATAAAGCTCCTGAATAGACTTCTGGTGCCTCCGTTTACGCAAGTTTCTCAAGCAAGTTAACCTTAATAGTCCAACACTCTGTTGGCAATGACCGTGAGCCGCCCCACGGTTCCACCTGAAAACCATTTGATCCCCCCAAAATTCTTTCACCCTAAAATCTTTCGTCCAAGTCACCTTGACTAAGTCATCTGCCATCCTCAAAAAAACCAACTAGGAATTCTTGGCATCTTAATGGTTCGCTTTCTCTTAATTTTTCTTCATGTTTTCATTGTATGGAAAAAATTTTTAAACCTAAAAAGGACTGCTTGAAACAAAAGATGTGCATACAGGTAACAGGGAAGAGATTTTAAGGCATCTTATTACACTCAGTCTAATTGAATAACCAATGGCTTCGACTCTGATGCTAGTGACCTTCGCAGTTTTTTGCCTTACTTAGCCTGTAGGTTGATAAATATCTTTCGTGGAAAGTTTTATACAAAGATGCTTCATCTTTTTTATCTTAAATTGAAACAGGAACCAACGTATCTCCTCAAACCCTCAAAAAGTAATGCCTTCAAACCTGTCACCGGGATATTCAATTTGTTAACATCTAAAGAAAAAAAGGTATTCTATTTTTTCATGATGGAACTCCAGGGCTAACAAGTTTGCGTTAATGGTGGTTATAAAATTTTAAAACCTCATTTGGACGTTTTGTGGCTTTTCAATGGTTGAAAAGGGAGCTGGAATTTTTACTTAGAAGATTTTTCTGATCATTTTGTTACGATTTAAGAAAGTTTTCACGGTAGAATCTCTTTCAGATAGAAGTCAATTGGTTCCACCTGAAAACCATTTGATCCCTGCAAAATTCTTTCACCCCAAAATCTATCTTGTCACTAGAAATACATAATTTGTGATTAAGTTCAAGCCCTTTCCTGAACTGACCGATATCCTGTTGCGTGAACAGTGCGAAATCTCTGGCGGATACTGGCATAAACACAAGCTCGAAGGGGCCGTGTATTCTTCTAACCTAATACCCCATTCACACCAGCAAAACATGTTTTGTTAAACTGGTTTTCATTGAATGAAAATTATAAACAGAGAACTGAAAAACTTGATTTTCCATTGGATTCAAGTACTAGCTAACTTGTATTTCCAATGTGCTACATTCAAGTCAAAAATATTCGGTTAAATAGTTTCTATGAAGAAAAAAAAATTAAACTGTGTTTAACAAAACAACTTTTAAACATGTTTAAGCTTTGGTGTGAATGGGGCATAAGTTTCCAAAAATACATTCCACGAGCCATCAATTCCCCACTGCCCTCAAGAAACTAATAGTAGCAATGTCAATGTGATAAAAGCACTGCAACGAGATAAATAAAGAAACACAAAATTTTATTGAATCAGATGGTAGTGAATCTAAGCGCTATATGAAAGTTGATGCATACGAAATGTTAATTTACAATACTGATGTCAGTTATTTGCCATTGAGCGAAATGGGTCATGTGGCAATGCTGCACTTAAAGTAAAAAAAATTTCACCGTTAAAATCTCTATTTGAGGTCAACCTGAATCAGATAAACTCACTCGTTTTCCGTTTGACCGGCTCGACGGCGACAGCCTCAATCTTTGCAATATTTGAGGAAAGGAGCAACTTGCCGTGAAACTGCCCGATGATTTCTGGGCACAAAATCATCGTGCCTCGTGATGCAGCCGATTTTTTCGTCAAAAGTTAGCGTGTAGTTTGCTAAGGAAATCATTTTACGACAATGAAACTCTAGAACACTAACCAAGGGGAAGCCTTGCGGCTATTAGTGCGAGAGAATAAAATGTTATTAATAACGAACACTGCCACCCATTCTCAACATAGATTTCGCCCCAGAAAACAAAACACAAACGCAACAAACTAAAAATTAATTAACGTTCTAATCTTGACCTGAACACCGCACGCGAATTCATGCGCCATTCATTAAATAAATTTACAATAGACTTAGCTCTCCTTCAGTGAAAATACTGATTACCAAAATGATTACCAGATGTCCACCTACTAAAGATTTGATTTTAACCTTGATTATTGAAGTTTTCGCACTCTATTTCATTACGATGTTTTGTCAGTAATTGGAATCACACAATCGATATTTGAGCGCTTTTTGATCAAGTGACGTAAAACCAAGACTAAAGTAATTCCCCAAATGGAACAAAGTAACCATTAAAAGGTTTATGAGAGGTGAAAGTAAACGCCACGATTAGAGACTTGAAAACACGGATAATCAAGTCGCGATTTGAGTTGAGTACTTTCTCTGACTGGTTGATTGATTGGCAACTGCATGCGAGTAGGCCGTCAATATCAGCACTTCTGTACGGGCCTTTATTCACCCACGACAAAATTAGTATGAGACGGTGAGAAAAATATAAACAAACAAAACCGGCGAGTCAAGGGGTCTAGGCTCATTATAAGTGCCACACCCTCCCTGCAAACATTTCCCCAGGCTCGTCACAAATCTTCTTGTGGGCGGAGAAACGCACGTGCCGTAGGGCCAATAATGATCGAAGGCCCGCTCGCCTGCAGCTGCTCGTAGTATACGATCGCACAAGTTTATAAACCAATCGCGGAGTGCAATGAAGCAAAATAAATCCATCACGGGTAATTAAGCTCAGGCACTCATTTGGAGATTGCTGTGAGTTAGATCATGTGATTTTGTCACGACCCTCACTCTCGAGAAAAATAATCTAAGGGATCTGTCTCACTCGAATGGAGAAATGATTGAGAGGTTAAATCTAAAAAGTTACATGGATTGGTTCCCTGCGAATTTGAACGAAGCCTCTTAACTGGGTTGGGAAATTACTAAAAAAAATCCAGTGAACAAGAAAAGACCAGGATGTACAGTTAGATATCAAATCTTTGACAAAATGTTTGAGACAACCTCAAATTTCTTAGATCCCAGTTAACTGACTCGTGGATTCCACTTCTTCGTTACAATATAGATTGTTTAACAGATAAAGTAGCATGCATATTTTGAACTTAGAGGATAGAAATACAAGCTCTAAACACCTCTTCAGTTATAACCGAGTTCGTAACTAACAGTACAGCCCGAAAAAAACGAGTCACTAGGATATTTGTTAAATTTTCGGGTTCAAATAGATGAAGAAGATTTTAACTTATACAAAGTTTTGAATTTAGCGAGGCGTACAGTGAGGTATGGTCCGCTTAATTGACTGATCATAGCACACGTATTAATTGAGATATGATAAAAATTGAGCATTGATCTGAATCTAGTTATTTCATGCAAGATACCCCTCAGATTCCTGTCAGGGAACTTACCTATACTCCTTTCAAGGGACATAGTAAAATCATACCTCAATCAATCGAACGTTTTTCTCTGGCTCATAGCAATCGTCGCCGTTAGGAAACAACTTAATATTTGGATCCTCTAATTGAAGGGCGCTTTCAACATATGCGACGTTTTGTTCGGACATCATAAATTCATTTAAGAGCTGTTGGTCTAAAGAATTATCACCCATTACACCAAACGCTCCCACGACTTTATTCTTTTTTAAGTTCAAACAACAGCCCACCGTCCACATTGAGTTTGGAATTGCGATCTTTGGTCCGAGATTCTTGTTTACATCCACCTTGTTATGGAACCACTGCAGAGGTTTCATCTCTTTGGGTGCTTTTATTTTACCTTGACGATCACGTTTCCGGAAAAACTTAACCTTCGATGTACCAGTGATTAGGAAAAGGGTTCCACCGTTCGGAGAACAAGTTTTCCGAGCGTATTTCTCTATTCTCTGTTCGTACCTTTTCCACTGACCTCCGTTGAAACTTGCAATTTGCGGCACGCAGTTGGTGTAGATGAATGTGGCAAGGACACTTTCAAGGCTGTAACGCAAGATTTTAACAGGAACTAGGTGGCCTTTCTGGTATCTACCCTTGAAAGGTTGGTCCTCGTACAATTTTTTGCTTCCTTGAAGAATCCCTGATCATGAGAGAGTTTTAAAGTACACTGATGTCACTCACAAGCCAAGAAATTTCGTTCTCGATTGATCCGCTAGGCAAGTAAAGTTTTCACCCTCCCAATCGCGGTCGCGAAATGTTAAAGCGAATTATCTCAGATTAGTCAAGGAAATTGTTTGCTTAAAATGATGTACCCATCATGCACGACTTTTCTCACAAGTCTCTCCTCTTTCCATTCGTTATTTTGCCCCATTGTACCTGCAGTGTAATACCGTCGTATGTTTTGCGTTTACCGTTGCCTTAATGTACGTGGTAAAATGGAACGATAGAATAATGACCCATAATGATAATTTATATCATATGTACCAAATATTTATCTATCTAACTACTCACCCATCTATCCATCTATCTAACTATATATAAAAACACATTCATATATATATATGTATATACAATCGCGTTAAAAAACTTTGCAATTAAAAAAAAAAAAAAAATACAATAAATCCTTTGTTTAGTTTCTCATCAAAAAGTGTCTCCTTTTGATGAGAAAACGAAATACTCGCATAACCCCATCTCAGCATCTTATCGATTGCATAGGGAATACGTGAAAGACCAAAAGACCAGAACCAGGGTGGTTCTGATACAATGCTTTGCCTCCTTGATGAATTCCAGAACATGCGACAGGCTTAAAGTACACTGATGTCACTCACAAGAAATTTTGTTCCCGATTGATCCGCTAGGTAAATAAAGTTCTTACCCTCCCGATCATAGTTACAAGGTGTTAAAGTGAAAGGTCTCAGATAAGTCAAAGAAATTATTTTCTCAACATGATTAAACCATCGATCATGCATGACTTTTCCCGCAAGTTTCTGCTCTTTCCATTCGTATTTTTGCCTCATTGTATCTACAGTGTAATACCGTCGCATTTTTTGCGTGTACTGTTGTCCTAATGTGGTAAAATGGCGTGATAGTGTAATGACGCATTATGTAAATCTATATCTACCTAGTATCTTTCTTTCTATGTATCTGTGTATGTCTAAATGTATCTATCTATCTATACATATATAATATATGTATATATATATATATATATATATTTATACAGGAAGTCTTTGTATTGATTTATACGTTTTACAGTGCTTGATACGTAGAAGTAGAGCGCGATGTATGTTGTGATAGGGGAAAAAAACAGAGAGACTATACTTTCATCCCTACAAGCCTGATTCGTGACAGCTCACTCATCAATCACGAAGCAGGCTTGTAGGGATGAAAGTATGGTCTCTCTGTTTTTTCCCCCTATCGCAACATATATACATATATTTTCTAGCGTTTCAAATTTAAGTTTACGAAACACTCGGCCTCATCTCAACAACTTATCGATCGCATAAGGAGTGCGGGAAAGACGAAAACAGCACGAACGAAACCATTAAAGTAGACTTTGTGACCATTTGATGCAAAACCTGGTACACTTGGGAACTTGTTTCTTGAAAAGCTAGTCCAAAAGGCGAAAGGAAGTTTGGTTTGTTAGCGCAGCCACTTCGCTCGCCTGCTGTCCGCATTTTTGCTTAGTTCTACAGTGTAATACCGTGGCATATCTAGTGCGTTCTTTTGTCCTAAAATGGCAAAACGTTGTGGTACTAGAATAAGAAATGTCTTAATTTTTTCCTAAATTTTTTTTATCACAAAAGTAAATTATAATAGTAACACTAGTGACCTTACCTGGCGTCTGATTCGGTTGCCATGGGTCACCTTGAGGTCTTGGTACTTTTGGTTTCATGGCGTCTTCGGCGGTAATCTTGTAGAGTGCGTAACGTGCAATTCCCAAATTATTATCGTGGAGAGTGGCGTAATATTTGTCTTGGCAGAGGGGACGGGTGACACCTGGCTGCTCGGGAAAGGTTGGTTTACCACCACGCAATGAGAATGTGTTAAGATTGCATGCTGGTAACATGCGACGTACTGGTTGTTCACCAAGGTGTTTTCCTTGCTCAACATAATCTTTGACACAAGAAAACGTTGTCTTTTTATTCATATTATCACACTTTTCTAAAAATTATGCTATATGCTTATCCTTCATAGATCATCTTCATTTGAAAGAAGATGACGACTGGGAAAAAAGGAGGGTCAGGGAAATGGAGGGGGGAGAGGGGGGTGTAGTATTCTAATAATCCCCACTCATTTACAATCGATTTCCTATTGTTCTCCTTTTATACTCTGAAAGCAACGACTGATCCCCCTTTCATTCTCCTGAAAATCATATGACCCCTCTCCCCCCAAAAAATAATATCTTGGCTCTCAGAAATCCTTCCTCCATCCCTCATTCCCTCCTCCCCTCCCCCCATGCGATAAATGTTGGTTGCTCCCTAATGCAGAATTAATGATGTATTGTTACGGTTAGGAAAAATTTGAAAACATCTTTGTAACACGTTTCATCAGCCATGAAGACCAAAATTGAAAGCTGACCGTAGAGTTTGAGGAAGGAGGCTCTCTTTTTCTTTCAATTCTTTGGAGGACTGACTTACCGTGGAAACTTCTTTGAAGACTAGCGTAACCTTCCTCAGTTTAGTCAATGTTTAACTAACTTTCGTAAAGTTATCTGCCATCCTCACAAAATTAATAAACAAAGACGAAAACTCGAAACAAAAGTCAATTTTATATTACGCTTTGCTCGACCATCGAGCGTACACCAAATATCTAAGTTTCCTTCTTATCGTAAAGATGGAGTGATTTGCTTGTAATTACTAAAATTCTCTAAGAAAAAACTTCCGTCAAATTAAAATTAAAGTCCATCACAATTTCTTTTGTTCTACTGTAAATTGTTTTCAGCAAGTAACAGATAGTGTTACTCAATGTTTAATTTTGTCTAGAAGTAAATGGTTCAAAATTTGTCGATCAAAAATCAATATGTGAAGGTTTACGTTTAGATCTATTATCGGAATCGAATTAACAACCCACACAGAATCCACCGCTTGAACAGGCTTGCTCTATGTTTGAAAAAATATAAAAGTAACTACCCCCCTTTAATCTGTGTCTTCTGAAGAGTTACAGTCCCAGAGTGCTTATTCGGGAGCAACGCTTAATCCAATGAATACAGTTTGCGTGTGAGAAAGGGATTCGACATAAAAAGGAACACCCTTTTACCTTTTCCTGAGGTTTTTGTCACATTCGTTGCAGCCCATGTAAAAGTGATAAGCTGAACTGCTACAAGCAACGCCAGGGGGAAAGCGAAACCAAGAAAGTTCATCTTCACTGTATTGACACAAAGGGGTTTGACTGTCCAGGCTTACTTCTACTGCTTAAGCTGTTGTGATCTCGTCACTATGTTAAGTTCTTCTCGGCTTTTAAGGTTTTTGTGATAGAATACATTCCATAATCTATTTCGCCTCAGTTACCACAGAGCAATTCATGACATCTTAATGGATCTCACATGGTTCACTTTGTTTCAATTTGTTTTTGACATCCAATGTTGTCATCGTGTAGAAAAAATCTTTCTTCAAAGCTAAAAGGACTGGTTGAAACAAAAGATGTGAAAACAGGTAATAGAGAAAAGCTTTTAAAGTATCTTATGACACTCAGTCTGATTGAATAACCAAACTCTAGACTCAAGACTCCAATGTCTTGCTTTAGTCAACCTGTTAGTAAAAAAGTACCTTTAAGGGAAAGTTTTTTAAAATTGTTAAGCTTCTTCTCAGGAAAACATTGGCAACCGAACATTTTCGGCTGACAAAAAAGCCACTAAGTCATCCAAAATATGGAGCTATTGAACACCATCTCCTCACTCCAACTACTTACAAAAATTCTTACATATTTTCTGAGTCTTAAATACCTCAAGATTAAGGAATCAACGTATCTAAATCAAGGAGTTTGTTGTTAGGTACTTTGTTGTTCATTTCGATTATGAAAATTTTTAGTGAGCGTTCTAAAAATATGTTTACTCTGCCACGGTTATCTGTCCCATAGGCCCAAACATGCCTACCGATAGGGTATTAAAGAGCATGTGCTTAGGGCTGAATTAGCAGAAGAGAGACAGAGTCTCAGAGAGTGAAATGAAGAGTTGCTCAAGCTAGTGAACCTAAGCAGTCCAACACTCTGTTGGCGATGACTTAACGCCTCCTCCTCCCCTTCCGTTCCACCTGAAAACCAGATCCCCAAAATCTTTCCACCCCAAAATCTTTTCGTCCTTATCTTGACTAAGTCATCTGCCATTCTCGCAAAAACCATCGAGGAATTCATGGCATCTTAATGGTTCACTTTCTCTCAATTTTTCTTGATATCCTATGTTGTCATGGTAAAGCTAAAAGGACTGCTTGAGACAAAAAATTTGCATACAGGTAATAGGAAAGAGATCTTAAGGCATCTTATTATACTCAGCCTAACTGAATAACCAATTGACTTCGACTCTGATGTTAGTGACCTTCGCATTTTTTGCCTTAGTTAACCTGTAGGTTGATAAATATTTTTCGTGCAAAGTTTTATACAAAGATGCTTCATTTTCTTCTATCCTGAATTGAAACAGCAAGCTACTTGACTCCTCAAACCCTCAAAAAGTAATGCCTTTAAATCTTTCACTGAAATATTTAATTTGTAAAGAACTAACGAAAAAACGGTACTCGATTTTTTCATGATGGAAATCTAGGGCTAACAAGATCTCGTTAATGGTGGTTATATAATTTTAAAACCTCATTTGGACGTTTTTTTGGTTTTTACTGGTTGAAAAGGGAAATTGCAATGTTCCTCGGAAGATCTTTCTGATCAATTTGATACGATTGCAGAAAGTTTTCACGGTGGAATCTCTTCAGATAGAAGCAGTCGATAAGACTCTTGGATGAAAAACGAATTTTGCCTTAAGTTCTGACTAACAATCCAAGAACTCAGGCTTCGGTCTTGTCCTCCAGTGATTAACAAGCATACAATGTTATCAAAGGAGGAAAACTGAATCAGTGGCAGGCGTAAGCTAAATGAATAAATGACGTAATCTATTGTCTATACAAAATCAAGCGAACTGATTGGTTGCTATGCTTAGCAAAGAATTGTGATTGGTTCAAAGAATCACGCCAATGTCAAATTTGAATCGAGCGTCGCTTGTCCTGGAAGAGACAATCGCTTTGAAAGCTGAATCAAAACTGCGTAATCAACAAATCTGAAACAAAATGCTGCAAAAAATCAAGTCACTTTTTGTCATCAGAGCGGCTCTGTAAGCCGAAAAACACCTGGACGTTGCCTTGAATATTACAGGAGTTAAAAAAGCCACTCGGAAAGCTTGCGGTTGCGGTCGACATCGAAACGTTGGAGGCCATTCGGTTCGAACTTTGCATGAGTGGAGCACTAGACTGAGGAACGGGCTGGCTCGAATTTTGGCAAGGTCAGATGGTAATGATGATGACAATAACTGGCTTATGTTGAATATATTCTTTGCCAGCGCGGCGGTTGATTCTGAGCTTGGCGTCGAGAATTTTGTTGCTGTTTTGAAATACTTGGTTTTTTTATATTTTCACTGTAACACCGTTGTTGTTTAGGTGTCGTTCAATGGAATTGCAAAAACCAAGAAGAGCTGAATGACTGTACTCTTCGCCTTTATTTGTTCTGGCTTCCACATAAAATTTTGCTAGGTTTTGGTCTAATTCCTTACTGTTCATTTTAAGAAGTGGTGTTGTGATGTTTCTTTCCTGACACCAATCTGTGTAAACAATTTGACATTGAGAAAAGAATTTTTTTTTCCAAATAAATCAATCTCAGACAACTTTTGCTTATTGAGTTCGTTAATTTCGAAGCAAAGTAATGGCTTCTTACCTTGAAATAATTTCACTACCCATTTTGTGTTTAGTCGTGTTCGACTGCGACTGCTCAAGTAGTTTTGTCAAGTCGTTTTCGACAGAGAAACGTGATTTTCTTTCTTTCCCCTGTTTATCGTAACTGTCCACAGCCTCGACAAGACTTTTTTTGAAATCTTCGTTCACCCAGTCAACTAAAATATCGTCTAAATTTTCAAAACTTTCCGCCATTTTAGAATAACAGAGAGCAAAAGTTTTAATGATGACGTCATCTATGCGTCTGTCCTCCAATAGATCATAAGTGAGAACCAATCAGAATGCGTGCATAACTGAGCTTATTATATAAATAGGTGTATATTACCTGTTTCATTTTTTCCCAATGATGTGGAAAGAGGACAAAAATTCTTCTTAAAGACAGAGTAGCGCCATAGGCATCTTAAACTTCAAAAAAATCTTATGGTCTTAAAAATGGTCTTTAAAATTAAAAAATTGTTCTTTCGACGTTTAAATGTTATTAGTTACAGTCAAATGAAGAGCTTGCGCTTTATTTTTTTTTCTTATGACTAACTCACATTGAAATACCAGCCTGTGAGAAGCATAGGATTCGTTTTTTCAATTTCTAGCTTAACATGAATATTATGTTCCACTTGCTCTGCACATCAATCGAATAATCACAAAGGTTTGCATTTTTAGACAAGAAACAGACATAATGCAGTCATGAGAAATACGAATAGTCATTTTGAAAGCTGTATTTGGACAGAGAAATTTGATATATGTAAAACTCTATGGATGTGTAAGCTTTAGATTTCCTTACACCCACCACCTGAAGTTGTACTTGGCTCATTGATGCCGAAGAAACGCGGCTCACCTCTGGGAGAATGTCACTGCGAGTGATTGTGAGGATTTGGGTTTTTCTCGGTGGAATCACAGGGAAAATTCCGTTGATCAAGAACCACTTGTAAGAGATGAAAGATAAAATGTCATCGAAAGCATCAAAACTAGAATAAAGAAAGGACGAGGTGAGGGAAAGATGAAGGAAAAATAAAAAGGTGGAAAATGGAAGGGAAGAATTTCAATGAATCCTCCGCTTCTTAAGCTCACTGTCTGTCTATATTATGAGGTTGTTCTTCCGTCTGCGCACCACGGCCATTGCTTCCGTTACTATGCTGAGTAAATTGGAATGTGAAGTTAAAGTCACATAGTTCATCCCAAGTGTCGGTGGTGACTTGAATTTCGTTGAGAAAATTTTGTGGAGAAAACAAGATCAAAAGCCTGAAAATATTCCTTAATTTGGATAACTATGAGCAAAAAGTTGTGGAAGTCGAGGCTCTTTGAAGGACATTCTCCAAAACTTTTACTAAAGAGTTATAATCAAGAGTTTTGATCAAGTGACGTAAGACCAGGACTAAATTAATTCCCCAAACGGAAAGAATTCAACATAACAGGATGTAAACATTACAAGGTTTATGAGAGCTGAAAGTAATCGCCACGATAAGAGACTTGAAAACACGGATAATCAAGCAAAAGCTTGCGAGTGGGCCGTCAATATCAGCACTTCTGCACGGGCGTTTCTTCGCTCATGATAAAGTAAGTATGAGGCTGTGATGAAAAAAAAAACAAACAAACAAATAGAACTGGCGAGGCAAGTGGGTCTAGGCTCATTAGAAGTGCCATACCCTTCCCGCAAACATTTCCCCTGGCTCGTCGCAAATCTTCTTGTGGGCGGAAAAATGCACGTGCCGCAGGGCCAATAATGATCGAGGGCCTGCTCGCCTGCTCGCCTGCTCGAAGGATTCAATCGCACAAGTTTATAAACCAATCACGGAGTGCAATGGGGCAAAAGAATTTCATCACGGGTAATTAAGCTCAGGCACTCATTTGAAGATTGCTGTGAGTTAGATTATGTGATTTTGTCTCGTCTCACTCTTGATTAAAATATTCTCAGGGATTTGGTCTCATTCGAATGGCGAAATGATTGAGAGGTCTAATCTAGAAAGTTATGTGGCTTGGTTCCCTGCAAATTTGAACGAAGCTTCTTAACTGGGGTGGGAAACTACTAAAAGAAACCAGTTAGGAAGAAAATACCAGGATATACGGTTAGATATCAAATCTTTGACAAAATGTTTGGGACAACTTCAAATTTCGTTTAATTTCTTAAATCACAGTTGATTGATTCGTTGATTCCACTTCGTCGTTACAATATATATTGTTTAGCAGATAAAGTAGCATGCATATTTTGAACACAAAGGATGGAAATACAAGCTCTAAACACCTCTTCCCAACCGAGTTCGTAACTTACAGCACAGCACGAGGAAAACGAGTAACTAAGATATTTTTTCGGGTTCAAATAGTAGAGGTAGATTTCAGTCTAAATAAACTTTTGAATTTAGCGAGGCGTACAGTGAAATACGGCCCGCTTTATTCACCAATCATAGCGAACGTATTAATCGAGATTTGATGAAAATTGTGTATTGATCTGAATCTTGTTATTTCATACAAGATGCCCCTCAGATTCCTTTCAAGGATCTTACTCATACTCCTTTTTAAGGAAAATAAGATCGTACCTTATTCAATTGAACGTTTTTTTCTTTGTCATAGCAATCCTTGCCGTTTGGAAACAACTCAATTGTTGGATCCTCTAATTTAAGGGCCCATTCAACATCTGCGACGGTTTCTCTGGACATTATAAATTCATTTAAGAGCTTTTTACCTAAAGAATTATCACCTATTACACCAAACGCTCCCACGACTTGATTCGTATTCAAGTTCAAACAACAGCCCACCGTCCACATTGAGTTTGGAATTGCGATCTTCTTCTTTGCATCCACGTTGTCATGGAACAACTGCTGAGGTTTCGCCAACGCGGTAATTTTTTTTTCACCTTGATTATCAAGTTCCTCATCAAATTGAACCGATGATGTGCCAGTGATTAGGTAAAGGGTTCCGCCGTTCGGAGAACAAACTCTCCGGGCGTATATGTCTATTTTCTGTTCGTACTTTTTCCACACACCTCTGTTGAAACCTTTAATTTGCGGCACGCAGTTGGTGTAGGTGAAAGTGGCACGAGCACTTTCATCGCTGTAACGTAAGATATTAACAGGAACGAGGTGGCCTCTGTCGTATTTACCCGGAATAGGTTGTTTCTGATACAATTTAGTGCTTCCTTGACGAATCCCTGAACGTGAAAGAATTTTAAAGTACACTGATGTCACTCACAAGCCAAGAAATTTTGTTCTCGATTTATCAGCTCGGTAAATAAAGTTCTTACCCTCCCGATCACAGTTACGAAATGTTTTAAGTGAGAGATCTCAGTTAAGTCAAAGAAATGATTTGCATAACATGATTAAACCATCATGCATGAATTTTCCCACAAGTTTCTTCTCTTTCCATCCGTATTTTTGCTCCATTGTACCTGCAGTGTAATACCGTCGCATGTGTTGCGTTTACCGTTGCCTTAATGTGGTAAAATGGCCTGATAGAATAATGATGCATAATGTAAATGTATATCATATCTACCTAATATCTATCTATCTCTCTACTCACCTATCTATCTATCTATCTATACATAAAACACATACATGTATATCTATGTATATTTACCCGTTTTCAAAAAGGTTGCAATTTGAAAAAATTATGAAATATATACGCCTTTTGTTTAATTTCTCATATATAGTGTCTCTTTGATGAGAAAACAAAAGGTATGTATAATTTGATGTATATTTTCAAATTGCAACGTTTTTGAAAGCGGGTGTTTATATATATATATAATCTTATATATATGTATAAACCATTAAACCCCTGAAGAGTGAAGCGATTCACGAAACAGGCTTGTCGGGAAATATATTTGCGTCCTTTTTTCCTCTCATAATATTTATTCTGCTCTGCTTCAACGTATTGAGCACTGTTCCACGCGAAAATCGACTTGCAGACTTCCTATATATATATATATATATATATATGTTTATATTTCCTGGTGTCTGGTGTTTTAACTTTAAGTTTTACGAAATACTCGCATAATCTCATCTCAGCATCTTATCGATCGCATAAACAGTGCGTGAAAGACCAAAACAACACGAATGAACGGACGTTGTAGTAGTGGAATGGGAAACGAATTAATTTTTCTCCTCAATTTCTTGATCACACAAGTAAATTATAACGACAACACTAATTACCTTACCTGGCGTCAGATTCGGTTGCCATGGGTCACCTTTAGGTCTTGGTTTCTTGGGTGTCGTGGCTTGTGCGGTGGTAATCTTGTAGAGTGAGTAACTTGCAATTCCCCAATAATTATTGTAGAGAGTGGCGTAATACTCGCCTTGGCAGAGGGGACGGGTGACACCTAGCTTCTCGAGCTCTGGAAAGGTTGGTTTACTATTACGCAACGAGAACGAGTCAAGATCGCACTCTATTTCCATGCTACGTAATGGTTGCTCACCCAGGTGTTTTCCTTGCTCATCATAATCTTTGACACAAGAAAACGTTGTCTTTTTATTCATATTATCACACTTTTCTCAAAATTATGCTATATGTCTATCCTTCATAGAGCTTCTTCATTCGGACGAAGACGAAGACTTCCTCCTTAGGGGTCCGTGTGTTACTCCCCCATTCGATTCTCATTCAAGGGCAATGATAAAAGTTAATATTTAAATCTTTGATAAATCAGTTTTTTTCAATTGTTTTGCTGAACGAAATTAGACCTCGAGTAATAATATCTGTCTTTCTGTAGAACGTTCTTCATAGAAATGCAGTTTAGGATCATTTGCAATTTTCATTTTAATTTTTTTCGGAAAACAGTTTTTTAAAATTGTTTTGCTGAACAAATAAGACCTCGAGTAAGAATATCTGTCTTTCCGTGAAACATTCTTGAAAGAAATGCAGTAGAGGATCATTTGTAATTTTCATGTTAGCTCTCTGAGCTCTACAACAATTGAGTTTTCGTATACGAATCAATGAACCGGTAATTTGTCATTTATCCCCTGGCAAAAAGGATACTGTTACTCAAAGTTTAATTTTGTCTATACATAGTTCAAAATTTGTCGATCAAACATCAATATGTGGAGGTTTACGTCTAGATCTATTATCAGAATCGAATTAACAACCCACACAGAACCCACCGCTTGAATAGGCTTGCTCTATGTTGGTAAAAATTTAAAAGTAACTACCGCTCTTTAATATGTTTCCACTGAAGAACTGTAGCGTTTGAAACCCAGAAAAAAATTTCCGCGTAAAATGAGTTCCAAGGGTGCCTCAGACAAATTAGCGCCAGCCAGTGTTTGAGTCACAGTCCCAGAGCGCCTATTCGGGAGCAACGCTTAATCCAATGAATACGGTTTGCGTGTGCGAAAGGGATTGGAAATAAAGGGAACACCTTTTTACCTTACCTGAGGTTTTTGTCACATTCATTGCAGCCCATGTAAAAGTGTTGAGCTGAACTGCTACAAGCAACGCCAGGGGGAAAGCGAAACAAGGAAAGTTCATCTTCACCGTATTGTCACAAAGGCGTACAACTGTCTAGGGTTATCTTGACTGCTTAACTGTGTGATCTCTTCACTATGTCATATTCTTCTCGGCTTTTAAGATTTTAAAAGATAGAATACATTACATAATCTATTTCGCCTCAGTTAGCCCAAAGGAATTCATGACATCTTAATGGATCTCATGGTTGACTTTGTCTCAATTTTTTTTTTGACATCTAATGTTGTCATCGAATAGCAAAAATCTCTCTTCAAAGCTAAAAGGACTGCTTGAAACAAAAGATGTGAATACCTACAGGAAATAGAGTAGAGCTTTTAAAGTATCTTATTACACTCAGTCTGCTTGAATAACCAGTTGATTTCGACTCTATTGCTGGTGACCTTTGGAAATCTTTTGCCCGAGTCAACCTGTTAGTCAGTAAATACCTTAAGGGAAATATTTTTACAAATGTTTTTAGCTTCCTCCCGGGAAAATATTAGCAACCGAATATTTTCAGCTGACAAATAGGCCACTAAGTACTATGTTTCTATCTGGAATGTGAAGCTTTTGGCCCCCAAAAATCCTTCTTTCACCCTTCATTGCCCCCTCCCCCCATGTGATAAATGTTAGTTGCTCCCTAATGCAGAATTAATGATGTATTGTTACGGTTAGGAAAAATTTGAAAACATCTTTGAGACACGTTTAATCGGCCATGAAGACCAAAATTGAAAGCTGACCGTAGAGTTTGAGGAAGGAGGCTCTCTTTTTCTTTCAATTCTTTGGAGGATTGGCTTACCGTGTAAACTTCTTTGAAGACTAGCGTAACCTTCCAAAGTTTAGTCAACGTTTATCTAACTTTCGCTAAGTTATCTACCATCCTCACAAAATTAAAAAAAAGACGAAAACTCGAAACAAAAGTCAATTTTCAATTACGCTTTGCTCGGCCATCGAGCATACACCAAATATCTAAGTTTTCTTCTTATCCTAAAGATGCAATGATTTGCTTGTAATTACTAGAATTCTCTGAGAAAAAACTTCCGTCAAATTAAAATTAAAGTAAATCGTAAGTTCTTTATTCCACTGTAAATTGTTTTCAGCAGGTAACAGATACTGTTACTCAAAGTTTAATTTTGTGTTGAAGTAAATGGTTCAAAATTTGTCGATCAAACATCAATATGTGGAGGTTTACCTTTAGATCTATTATCGGAATCGAATTAATAACCCACACAGAATCCACCGCTTGAACAGGCTTGCTCTATGTTTGCAAAAATTTCAAAGTAACTACCGCCCTTAAAGTTGTGTCTACTGAAGAACTGTAGCGTTTGAAACTGAGAAAAAAATCTTCGCCGTAAAATAAGTTTTTAGGGTGCCTCAGACAAACTTTGCACGCCCGCTCGCGTTTGAGTTACAGTCTCATATGGCTTATTCGGGAGCAACGCTTAATCTAATGAATACAGTATGCGTGTGCTAAAGAGATTCGACATAAAGGGAACCCTTTTTACCTTACCTGAGGTTTTTGTCACATTCATTGCAGCCCATGTAAAAGTGTTGAGCTGAACTGCTACAAGCAACGCCAGGGGGAAAGCGAAACAAGGAAAGTTCATCTTCACCGTATTGTCACAAAGGCGTACAACTGTCCAGGCTTATCTCGACTGCTTAGCTGTTGTGATCTCTTCACTATGTTATGTTCTTCTCGGCTTTTAAGATTTTGTGATTGAAGACAGTACATAATCTATGTCGTCACAGTTACCACAGAGGAATTCACGACATCTTAATGGATCTCATGGTCGACTTTGTCTCAATTTTTTTTTGACATCCAATGTTGTCATCGTGTAGAAAAAGGCTTTATTCAAAGCTTAAAGGACTGCTTGAAACAAAAGATGTGAAAACAGGTAATAGAGAAAAGCTTTTAAAGTATCTTATGACACTCAGTCTAATTGAATAACCAAACTCTTGACTCAAGACTAATGCTCTCTACTCTAATGCTGGTGACCTTAGCAATGTTTTGCCTCAGTCAACCTGTTAGTTAATAAATACCTAAGGGAAAGTTTTTTACAACTGTTTAAGCTTCTCCTCAGGAAAACACTAGCAACAGAACATTTTCAGCTGACAAATAAGCCAGTAAGTAATATGTTTTCATCCGAAATATGAAGCTCTTGAACACCATCTCCTCACTCCAACTACTTATAAAAACTCTTGCATATATTCTGAATCTTAAATACCTCAAGATTAAGGAATCAACGCATCCGAATCAAGGAGTTTGTTGTTAGGTACTTTGTTGTTCATTTCGAATGCCTTGTGAGATTGTTATGGTGAGCGTTCTAAAAATATGTTTACTCTGCAACGGTTAGCTGTCCCATAAGCCCAAACATGTCAACCGACATGTTTGGGCTTATGGACAGAGTCTCAGAGAGTGAAGTGAAGCTCCTGAACAGACTTCTGGTGCCTCCGTTTACGCGAGTTGTTGAAGCTAGTTAACCTAAACAGTCCAACACTCTGTTAGCAATGACTTAACCCCCTTCCGTTTCACCAGAAAACCAATCTTTTGTGAAAAGTTTTATACAAAGATGCCTCATTTTCTTCTATCTTAAATTGAAACAGCAATCTACTTAACTCCTCAAACCCTCAAAAAGTAATTCCTTTAAACGTGTCACTGAGATATTTAATTTATTAACAACTGACGAAAAAACGCTACTCGATTTTGTCATGATGGAAATCTAGGGATAACAAGATTCTGTTAACGGTGGTTATAAAATTTTAAAGCCTCATTTGGAGGTTTTTTGGTTCTTAATGGTTGAAAAGGGAAATTGGAATGTTCCTCGGAAGACCTTTCTGATCAATTTTAAACGATTGAAGAAAGTTTTCATGATGAAATCTCTTTCAGATAGAAGCCAATCGATAAGACTCTTGGATGAAAAACGATTTTTGCCTTAAGTCCGGTCCTGACTAACACCCCAAGAACTCAGACTCTGTCATTTTGGTCTTGTCCTCCAGTGATTGAGAAGCATACAATGTTATCAAAGGACGAAAACTGAATTAGTTGCAGGCGTAAGCTAAATGAAAAGTTTGACGAACAGAATGGCCAGTCTAGGAGTGATTCTCAAGGTAAAAACAACCAAACTGCCTAAACGTGGGTCACTAAGTTGTGATTGGTTTCAATTTTGCATCTGATTGGTTGAGAGAGTGACTCGAACTTTCATAACCAATCACAGAACGAAGTAAAGTTAAATCAATGCAATCTTGGATTACTTTCGACTCTCAATTGAAAATTTCTCTAATGATAATAATGAATGCTTAAAAAATGATTAATGATAATGATAAAAAGCCTGATTATGATCTAAGATGAAACGAACTCTTCATACAAATAAACTTTCCTAACTAACTACATAGACATTTACAATTATAAATTTCAACTACAATTTTCAAAATAAATCGATCCTCTAAATAGTTTCTAAATCTAAGTTATATTTAAGACAATTAGGAAATAAAGAAAGGTGATTTTTTTCCGTTTTTCTCTAACATTCACTACCAAATAAACTTCCCCTTATTAAATGTTAAAGAGATAAGGAGGAACTACATTTTCATTTCCCTGAATCGGACAAGTCGTTTCCTCCTGAAACTAAATAGGCGTATATTACCTGTTTAATTTTTTTCCAATGATGTGAAAAGTGGAAAAAAAAATGCTTCTTAAAGACAGGCTAGCGCCATAGGCTGGTCTAAAAATTAAACAAATTGTTCTCTCGACTTTTAAATATTATTGGTTACTAGTTACAGTCAAATGAAGAGCTTGCGCTTTATTTTTTCTTTTTAATTTCTTATGACTAATTCACATTGAGGTACCAGCCTGTGAGAAGCATAAGATTCGTTTTGTCAATTTCTAGCTTAAAATAAACATTATGTTCCACTTGCTCTGCACATCAATTGAATACTCACAAAGGTTTACATCGTTTAGACAAGAAACAGACATAATGCAGTCATAAGAAATACGAATAGTCATTTTGAAAGATGTCTTTGGACAGAGAAATATGATATATCTAAAACTCTATGGATGTATAAAATTTAGATTTCCTCACACCCACACCCTGCAGTTTCATTTGCTTCACTTGATGCCATAGAAACGCTGCTCGCCTCTGGGCGAATTTCATCGCGAGTTATCGTGAGGATTTGGGTTTTTCTCGGTGGGATCACTGGGGAAATTCCGTTCACGTTGACGCCAATTTGAACAAGAACCACTTATACAAGGCGAAAGCTAAAATGTCATCGAAAGCATCAAAAAATAGAATAAAGCAAGGATGAGGAGAGGGAAAAATGAAGGAAAAATAAAAAGGTAGAAGGGGGAAGGGAAGACTTTCAGTGAATCCCCATTTTGTTAAGCTCACAGTCCATCTACATTATGACGTTTTTCTTCTGTCTGCGCACCGCGGCCATCGCTACCGTTACTGTGCTGAGTAAATTGAAATGTAAAGTTTTTACACATTTCACCCCAAGTGTCAGTGGTGGTAGAAATATGTGAAAGTCGAAGCTCTTTGACAGAAATTCTCGAAAACTTTACTAAAGAGTTATAACCAGAGGTTACGAGTAACTCGGAAGGACTCTCCCATATTCTTCAGGAGCTACAGCCTTGCAATCAAGCGGACTAGGTCCCTGTGGAATAATAGGATTAAATCTATATTATAATCATTATTGTTGTTATTATTAGCATTCCAAGTTCCTGTAAACTAACACTCCATGCCACCATCCTTGTTTGATCTTTTTCTCAAGCCTTAAATAAAGCAACTTGCAATGGACTTCTCCTTCAGCGTGGATACCCTGCGAAATGATTCTCATATATCCACCTACTAAAGATTCAATTTTTACCGTGATTCGTTAAGTTTTCGTACTCTATTTCTTTACGATGTTGAATTCGCAATTGGAATCACACAATCGAATTTGAGCGTTTTTTGATCAAGTGACGTAAGACTAAGACTAATGTAATTCCCTAAACGGAAAAAAGTAAACATTACAGGATGTAAACATTACAAGGTTTATGAGAGCTGAAAGTAAACGCCACGATTAGAGACTTGAAAACACGAATAATTAAGTCGAGATTTGAGTTTAGTCCTTCTTCTGATTGGTTGATTGATTGCCAAAAGCTTGCGAGTGGGCCGTCAATATCAGCACTTCTGCGCAGGCGTTTCTTTACCCGCGACAAAGTAAGTTTTAGACCGTGAGAAAAAGAAAAAAAAAAGAAACGGGTGAGGCAAGGGATCTAGGCTCATTTTTAGTGCCGCACCCTCCCACTTCAAACAACAAACACTTCACCAGGCTCGTCATAAATCTTCTTGTGAGCAGAGAAACGCACTTGCCGCAGGGCCATTAATGATCGAGGGCCTGCTCGCCTGCTCGTAAGATACGATCGCACAAGTTTATAAACCAATCGCGGGGTGTAATTAGGAAAAAGAAATGCATCATGGGTGATTAAGCTCAGGCACTCATTTGAAGATTGCTGTGAGTTAGATCATGTGAATTTGTCACGGCCCACACTCTCGAGTAAAAGGATGTGAGGGATTTGTCTCATTCGAATGGAGAAATGACTCACAGGACTAATCTAGAAAGTTAGATGGATTAGTTCCCTGCGAATTTCAACGAAGCCTCTTAACTGGGGTGGGAAATTACTTTAAAAAAATCCAGTTGAGAAGTAAAGACCAGGATATACCGTTACATATCAAATCTTCGACAAAATGTTTATATTAACAACCTTAAATTTGGTTTAATTTCTTAGATCACAGTTTATTGATTCGTTGATTCCACTTATTCGTTACAGTATACATTGTTTTGCAGATAAAGTAGCATGCATATTTTGAACATAAAGGATGAAAATACAAGCTCTAAACACCTCTTTCTAACCGAGTTCGCAACTAACAGTACAGCCCGAAAAAAACAAGTAACTAGGATAGTTACTAGGACATAATAAAATCATACCTTAATCAATCGAACGTTTTTTTCTGGCTCATAGCAATCGTTGCCGTTAGGAAACAACTTAATATTTGGATACTCTAACTTAAGGGCGCTTTCAACATATGCGACGTTTTGTTGGGACATCATAAATTCATTTAAGGGCTTTTTGTCTAAAGAATTATCACCCATTACACCAAACGCTCCCACGACTTGATTGGTATTCAAGTTCAAGCAACAGCCCACCGTCCACATTGAGTTTGGAATTGCGATCTTTGGTCCGAGATTCTTGTTTACATCCACGTTGTTATGGAACCACTGCAGATGTTCCATCCCTTTGGCTGCTATTATTTTACCATGACGATCATGTTTCTGGAGAAACTTAACCTTCGATGTGCCAGTGATTAGGAAAAGGGTTCCGCCTTCCTGAGAACAATTTTTCCGGGCGTATTTCTCTATTCTCAGTTCGTACCTTTTCCACTGACCTCCGTTGAAATCTGCAATTTGCGGCACGCAGTTGGTGTAGGTGAATGTGGCAAGGACACTTTCAAGGCTGTAACGCGAGATTTTAACAGGAACTAGGTGGCCTTTCTGGTATCTACCCTGGAAAGGTTGGTTCTCGAACAATTTTTTGCTTCCTTGAAGAATCCCTGATCATGAGAGAGTTTTAAAGTACAGTGATGTCACTCACAAGCCAAGAAATTTTGTTCTCGATTGATCCGCTAGGCAAGTAAAGTTGTCACCCTCCCAATCACGGTTGCGAAATGTTAAAGAGAATTATCTCAGATTAGTCAAGGAAATCATTTGCTTAAAATTATTTAACCATCATGCATGACTTTTCCCACAAGTTTCTCCTCTTTCCATCCTTATTTTTGCCCCATTGTACCTGCAGTGTAATACCGTCGTATGTTTTGCGTTTACCGTTGCCCTAATGTACGTGGTAAAATGGAACGACAGAATAATGACGCATAATGTAAATGTATCTCATATGTACCTAATATTTATCTATCTAACTACTCACCCATCTATTCATCTATCTATCTATATATAAAAACACATTCATGTATATATATGTATATACACCCGTATTCAAAAACGTTGCAATTTGAAAAAAAAATTAAATGCAATAAATCTTTTGTTTAATTCTCTCATCAAATAATGTCTCCTTTTGATGAGAAAACGAAATACTGGCATAACCTCATCTCAGCATCTTATCGATCGCATAGGGAATGCGTGAAAGACCCAAAGACCAGAACCAGGGTGGTTCTGATACAATGCTTTACTTCCTTGATGAATCCCTGAACATGAGACAGGTTTAAAGTACACTGATGTCACTCACTAGTCAAGAAATTTTGTTCCCGATTGATCCGCTAGGTAAATAAAGTTCTTACCCTTCCGATCACAGTCACGAGATGTTAAAGTGAAAGATCTCAGATAAGTGAAAGAAATGATTTGCTCAACATGATTAAAACATCGATCATGCATGACTTTTCCCACAAGTTTCTGCTCTTTCCATTCGTATTTTTGCCTCATTGTATCTGCAGTGCAACACCGTCGCATTTTTTGCGTGTACCGTTGTCCTAATGTGGTAAAATGAGTGATAGTGTAATGACGCATTATGTAAATCTATATCTACCTAGTATCTTTCTTTCTATGTATGTATGTATGTATGTATGTATGTACCTATCTATCTATCTATCTATCTATCTATCTATCTATCTATCTATATATAAATATAAAGGAAGTCTGTGTATTGATTTATCCGTTTTACAGTGCTCGATACATAGGAGTAGATGTATGTTGCGATAGGGGGAAAAACAGAGAGACTACAATTTCATCCCTACAAGCCTATTTCGTGATTGCTCAGTCATCAATCACGAAGCAGGCTTGCAGGGATGAAAGTATGGTCTCTCTGTTTCCCCCCCCCCCTATCGCAACATATCTACATATATTTTCTAGCGTTTCAAATTTAAGTTTACGAAACACTCGGCCTCATCTCAACAACTTATCGATCGCTTAAGGAGTGTGTGAAAGGCGAAAACAGCACGAACGAAACAATTAAAGTAGACTTCGTGACCGAAGCAAAACCTGGTACACTTAGGAGCTTGTTTCTTGAAAAGTTAGTCCTAAAAGGCGAAAAAAAGTTTGGTTCGTTAGCGCAGCCACTTCGTTCGCCTGCTGTCCGTATTTTTGCTTAGTTCTACAGTGTAATACCGTGGCGTATCCAGCGCGTTCTTTTGCCCTAAAATGGCAAAACATTGTGGCACTGGAATAAGAAATGTCTTTATTTTTCCCTAAATTTCTCTGTCACAAAAGTAAATTATAATAGTAACACTAGTTACCTTACCTGGCGTCTGATTCGGTTCCCATGGATCATTTAGAGGTCTTGGTACTTTTGGTTTCATGGCGTCTTCGGCGGTAATCTTGTAGAGTGCGTAACGTGCAATTCCCAAATTATTATCGTGGAGAGTGGCGTAATATTTGTCTTGGCAGAGGGGACGGGTGACACCTAGCTTCTCTGGAAAGGTTGGTTTACCACCACGCAATGAGAATGTGTTAAGATTGCATGCTGGTAACATGCGACGTACTGGTTGTTCACCCAGGTGTTTTCCTTGCTCATCATAATCTTTGACACAAGAAAACGTTGTCTTTTTATTCATATTATCACACTTTTCTCAAAATTATGCTATATGCTTATCCTTAATAGAGCATCTTCATTTGAAAGAAGATGACGACTGGGAAGAAAGGAGGGCCAGGGAAAGGGAGGGGGGAGAAGGGGGTGTAGTATTCTAATAATCCCCACTCATTTACAGTCAATTTCCTATTGTTCTCCTTGTATACTCTGAAAGCAACGACTGATCCCCCTTTCATTCTCCTGAAAATCATATGACCCCTCTCCCCCAAAAAATAATATCTTGGCTCTCAGAAATCCTTCCTCCATCCCTCATTCCCTCCTCCCCTTCCCCCATGCGATAAATGTTGATTGCTCCCTAATGCAGGGTTAATGATGCATTGTTCCGGTCAGGAGAAATTTGAAAACATCTTTGAAACACGTTTAATCGGCCATGAAGACCAAAATTGAAAGCTGACCGTAGAGTTTGAGGAAGGAGGCTTTCTTTTTCTTTCAATTCTTTGGAGGACTGACTCACCGTGTAAACTTCTTTGAAGACTAGCGTAACCTTCCGCAGTTTAGTCAACGTTTATCTAACTTTCACTAAGTTATCTACCATCCTTACAAAATAAAATAAAAAAAGAAGAAAACTCGGGACAAAAGACAATTTTCAATTGACCGTTTGCTCTTCCCATCGAGCGTACACCAAATAACTCAGCTTTTCTCTTTCCCTAAAGATGCAACGATTTGCTTGTAATTACTAAAATTCACTTCCGTCAAATTAAAATTTAAGTCCATCATAAGTTCTTTTGTTTTACTGTAAATTGTTTTCAGCAAGTAACAGATAGTTACTCAAAGTTTAATTTTGTCTATACATAGTTCAAAATTTGTCGATCAAACATCAATATGTGAAGGTTTACGTTTAGATCTATTATCGGAATCGAATTAACAACCCACACAGAATCCGCCGCTTGAACAGGCTTGCTCTATGCTTGAAAAAATGTAAAAGTAACTACCGCCCTTTAATGTGTGTCTACTGAAGAACTGTAGCGTTTGAAACTGAGAAAAAAATATCCGCGTAAAAATAAGTTCCAAGGGTGCCTCAGACAAACTTTGCACGCCCGCTCGCGTTTGAGTTACAGTCCCAGAGGGCTTATTCGGGAGCAACGCTTAATCCAATGAATACAATTTGCGTGTGAGAAAGGGATTCGACATGTAGGGAACACCTTTTTACCTTTTCCTGAGGTTTTTGTCACATTCGTTTCAGCCCATGTAAAAGTGATAAGCTGAACTGCTACAAGCAACGCCAAGGGGAAAGCGAAACCAAGAAAGTTCATCTTCACCGTATTGTCACAAAGGGGTACAGATGTCCAGGCTTATCTCGACTGCTTAACTGTTGTGATCTCTTCACTATGTTATGATCTTCTCGGCTTTTAAGATTTTTTGTGATAGAAAACATTACATAATCTATTTCGTCACAATTACCACAGAGGAATTCATGTCATCTTAATGGATCTCATGGTTCACTTTGTCTCAATTTTTTTTGACATCTAATGTTGTCATCGACCAGCAAAAATCTCTTTTCAAAGCTAAAAGGGCTGCTTGAAACAAAATATGTGAATACCTACAGGAAATAGAGAAGAACTTTTAAAGTATCTTATTACACTCAATCTGCTTGAATAACCGGTTGATTTCGACTCTATTGCTAATGACCTTTGGAAATTTTTTGCCCGAGTCAACCTGTTTGTTAATAAATACCTTTAAGGGAAATATTTTTACAAATGTTTTTAGCTTCCTCCCGGGAAAACATAGCAACCGAACATTTTCAGCTGACAAATAGGCCACTAAGAACTATGTTTCCATCTGAAATGTGAAGCTTTTGGCCCCCAAAAATCCTTCTTTCACCCTTCATTGCCCCCTCCCCCATGTGATAAATGTTGGTTGCTCCCTAATGCAGAATTTAATGATGTATTGTTACGGTTAGGAAAAATTTGAAAACATCTTTGAGACACGTTTAATCGGCCATGAAGACCAAAATTGAAAGCTGACGGTAGAGTTTGAGGAAGGAGGCTCTCTTTTTCTTTCAATTATTTGGAGGACTGGCTTACCGTGTAAACTTCTTTGAAGACTAGCGCAACCTTCCACAGTTTAGTCAACGTTTATCTAACTTTCGCTAAGTTATCTACCATCCTCACATAATTAAAAAAAAGACGAAAACTCGAAACAAAAGTCAATTTTCAATTACGCTTTGCTCGGCCATCGAGCGTACACCAAATATCTAAGTTTTCTTCTTATCCTAAAGATGCAATGATTTGCTTGTAATTACTAGAATTCTGTGAGAAAAAACTTCCGTCAAATTAAAATTAAAGTAAATCGTAAGTTCTTTATTCCACTGTAAATTGTTTTCAGCAGGTAACAGATACTGTTACTCAAAGTTTAATTTTGTGTTGAAGTAAATGGTTCAAAATTTGTCGATCAAACATCAATATGTGGAGGTTTACCTTTAGATCTATTATCGGAATCGAATTAACAACCCACACAGAATCCACTGCTTGAACAGGCTTGCTCTATGTTTGCAAAAATTTCAAAGTAACTACCGCCCTTAAAGTTGTGTCTACTGAAGAACTGTAGCGTTTGAAACTGAGAAAAAAATCTTCGCCGTAAAATAAGTTTCTAGGGTGCCTCAGACAAACTTTGCACGCCCGCTCGCGTTTGAGTTACAGTCTCATATGGCTTATTCGGGAGCAACGCTTAATGTAATGAATACAGTATGCGTGTACTAAAGAGATTCGACATAAAGGGAACCCTTTTTACCTTACCTGAGGTTTTTGTCACATTCATTGCAGCCCATGTAAAAGTGTTGAGCTGAACTGATACAAGCAACGCCAAGGGGAAAGCGAAACAAGGAAAGTTCATCTTCACCGTATTGTCACAAAGGCGTACAACTGTCCAGGCTTATCTCGACTGCTTAGCTGTTGTGATCTCTTCACTATATTATATTCTTCTCGGCTTTTAAGATTTTTTGATAGAAGACAGTACATAATCTATGTCGTCACAGTTACCACAGAGGAATTCACGATATCTTAATGGATCTCATGGTTGACTTTGTCTCAATTTTTTTTTGACATCCAATGTTGTCATCGTGTAGAAAAAGTCTTTCTTCAAAGCTAAAAGGACTGCTTGAAACAAAAGATGTGAAAACAGGTAATAGAGAAAAGCTTTTAAAGTATCTTATGACACTTAGTCTGATTGAATAACCAAACTCTAGACTCAAGACTCTAATGCTGGTGACCTTAGCAATGTTTTGCCTTAGTCAACCTGTTAGTTAATAAATACCTAAGGGAAAATTTATTACAACTGTTTAAGCTTCTCCTCAGGAAAACACTAACAACAAAACATTTTCAGCTGACAAATAAGCCAGTAAGTAATATGTTTTCATCCGAAATATGGAGCTCTTGATTAAGGAATCAACGCATCCGAATCAAGGAGTTTGTTGTTAGGTACTTCGTTGTTCATTTCGAATGTCTTGTGAGATTGTTATGGTGAGCGTTCTAAAAATATGTTTACTCTGCAACGGTTAGCTGTCCCATAAGCCCAGACATGTCAACCGACATGTTTGGGCTTATGGGCTTATGTTCATCTTTCGTGAAAAGTTTGATACAAAGATGCCTCATTTTTTTCTATCCTAAATTGAAACAGCAATCTACTTAACTCCTCAAACCCTCAAAAAGTAATTCCTTTAAACGTGTCACAACTAACGAAAAAACGCTACTCCATTTTGTCATGATGGAAATCTAGGGCTAACAAGATTCTGTTAACGGTGGTTATAAAATTTTAAAACCTTATTTGGACGTTTTTTTGGTTCTTAATTGTTGAAAAGGGAAATTGCAATGTTCCTCGGAAGACCTTTCTGATCAATTTGAAACGATTGAAGAAAGTTTTCACGATGAAATCTCTTTCAGATAGAAGCCAATCGATAAGACTCTTGGATGAAAAACGATTTTTGCCTTAAGTCCGGTCCTGACTAACACCTCAAGAACTCAGACTCCGGCCTTTTTGTCTTGTCCTCCAGTGATTGAGAAGCATACAATGTTATCAAAGGACGAATACTGAATTAGTTGCAGGCGTAAGCTAAATGAAAAGTTTGACGAACAGAATGGCCAGTCTAGGAGTGATTCTCAAGGTAAAAACAACCAAACTGCCTAAACGTGGGTCACTAAGTTGTGATTGGTTTCAATTTTGCATCTGATTGGTTGAGAGAGTGACTCGAGCTTTCAGAACCAATCACAGAACGAAGTAAAGTTAAACAATGCAATCTTGGATTACTTTCGACTCTCAATTGAAAATTTCTCTAATGATAATAATGAATGCTTAAAAAATGATTAGTGATAATGATAAAAAGCCTAATTATGATCTAAGATGAAACGAACTCTTCATACAAATAAACTTTCCTAACTAACTACATAGACATTTACAATTATAAATTTCAACTACAATTTTCAAAATAAATCGATCCTCTAAATAGTTTCTAAATCTAAGTTATATTTAAGACAATTAGGAAATAAAGAAAGGTGATTTTTTTCCGTTTTTCTCTAACATTCACTACCAAATAAACTTCGCCTTATTAAATGTTAAAGAGATAAGGAGGAACTACATTTTCATTTCCCTGAATCGGACAAGTCGTTTCTTCCTGAAACTAAATAGGCGTATATTACCTGTTTTATTTTTTTCCAATGATGTGAAAAGTGGAAAAAAAAATGCTTCTTAAAGACAGGCTAGCGCCATAGGCTGGTCCAAAAATTAAACAAATTGTTCTCTCGACTTTTAAATATTATTGGTTACTAGTTACAGTCAAATGAAGAGCTTGCGCTTTATTTTTTCTTTTTAATTTCTTATGACTAATTCACATTGAGGTACCAGCCTGTGAGAAGCATAAGATTCGTTTTGTCAATTTCTAGCTTAAAATAAACATTATGTTCCACTTGCTCTGCACATCAATTGAATACTCACAAAGGTTTACATTTTTTAGACAAGAAACAGACATAATGCAGTCATAAGAAATACGAATAGTCATTTTGAAAGATGTCTTTGGACAGAGAAATATGATATATGTAAAACTTTATGGATGTGTAAAATTTAGATTTCCTTACACCCACACCCTGCAGTTTCATTTGCTTCACTTGATGCCATAGAAACGCTGCTCGCCTCTGGGCGAATGTCATCGCGAGTGATCGTGAGGATTTGGGTTTTTCTCGGTGGGATCACTGGGGAAATTCCGTTCACGTTGACGCCAATTTGAACTAGAACTTCTTATACAAGGCGAAAGCTAAAATGTCATCGAAAGCATCAAAAAAAAGAATAAAGCAAGGATGAGGAGAGGGAAAAATGAAGGAAAAATAAAAAGGTAGAAGGGGGAAGGGAAGACTTTTAGTGAATCCCCATTTTGTTAAGCTCACAGTCTATCTACACTATGACGTTTTTCTTCTGTCTGCGCACCGCGGCCATCGCTACCGTTACTGTGCTGAGTTAATTGAAATGTAAAGTTTTTACACATTTCACCCCAAGTGTCGGTGGGGGTAGAAATATGTGAAAGTCGAAGCTCTTTGACAGACATTCTCGAAAACTTTACTAAAGAGTTATAACCAGAGGTTACGAGTAACTCGGAAGGACTCTCCCATATTCTTCAGGAGCTACAGCCTTGCAATCAAGCGGACTAGGTCCCTATGGAATAATAGGATTAAATCTATATTATAATCATTATTGTTATTATTAGCATTCCAAGTTCCTGTAAACTAACACTCCATGCCACCATCCTTGTTTGATCTTTTTCTCAACCCTTAAATAAATCAACTTGCAATGGACTTAGCTCTCCTTCAGCGTGGATACCATGCGAAATGATTCTCATATATCCACCTACTTAAGATTCAATTTTTACCGTGATTCGTTAAGTTTTCGTACTCTATTTCTTTACGATGTTGAATTCGCAATTGGAATCACACAATCGAATTTGAGCGTTTTTTGATCAAGTGACGTAAGACTAAGACTAAAGTAATTCCCTAAACGGAACAAAGTAAACATTACAGGATGTAAACATTACAAGGTTTATGAGAGCTGAAAGTAAACGCCACGATTAGAGACTTGAAAACACGAATAATTAAGTCGAGATTTGAGTTTAGTTCTTCTTCTGATTGGTTGATTGATTGCCAAAAGCTTGCGAGTGGGCCGTCAATATCAGCACTTCTGCGCGGGTGTTTCTTTACCCGCGACAAAGTAAGTTTTAGACCGTGAGAAAAATAAAAAAAAAAAAAAAAGGAACGGGCGAGGCAAGGGATCTAGGCTCATTTTTAGTGCCGCACCCTCCCACTTCAAACAACAAACACCTCCCCAGGCTCGTCACAAATTTTCTTGTGAGCAGAGAAACGCATTTGCCGCAGGGCCATTAATGATCGAGGGCCTGCTCGCCTGCTCGTAGGATACGATCGCACAAGTTTATAAACCAATCGCGGGGTGTAATTAGGCAAAAGAAATGCATCATGGGTGATTAAGCTCAGGCACTCATTTGAAGATTGCTGTGAGTTAGATCATGTGAATTTGTCACGGCCCACACTCTCGAGCAAAATGATGTGAGGGATTTGTCTCATTCGAATGGAGAAATGACTCACAGGACTAATCTAGAAAGTTATATGGATTGGTTCCCTGCGAAGTTCAACGAAGCCTCTTAACTGGGGTGGGAAATTACTTTAAAAAAATCCAGTTGAGAAGTAAAGACCAGGATATACCGTTGCATATCAAATCTTCGACAAAATGTTTATATTAACAACCTTAAATTTCGTTTAATTTCTTAGATCACAGTTTATTGATTCGTTGATTCCACTTATTCGTTACCGTATATATTGTTTAGCAGATAAAGTAGCATGCATATTTTGAACATAAAGGATGAAAATACAAGCTCTAAACACCTCTTTCTAACCGAGTTCGTAACTAACAGTACAGCCCGAAAAAAACAAGTAACTAGGATATTTATTATTTTTCCGGGTTCAAACAGAGGAGGGAGATTTCAGTTTAAACAAACCTTTTGAATTTAGCGAGGCGTACAGTAAAATTCGGCTAAGATATGTTAAAAAACTGTGCATTGATCAGAATCTGGTTATTTCACCCAAGGTGCCCCTCAGACTCCTTTCAAGAAACACAATAAAATCATCTATGTATCTCATTCAAATTAACGTTTTTTTCTGGCATATAGCAATCTTTGCCCTTAGGAAACAACTTAATTGTTGGATCCTCTAATATAAGGGCCTTTTCAACATATGCGACGTTTTGTTGGGACATCATAAATTTATTTAAGGGCTTTTTGTCTAAAGAATTATCACCCATTACACCAAACGCTCCCACGACTTGATTGGTATTCAAGTTCAAGCAACAGCCCACCGTCCACATTGAGTTTGGAATTTTGATCTTTTGGTGTGCATCCACGTTGCCATGGAACTCCTCCATTGGTTTCACCGACTTATCCACCCCGATTATTTCGCCTTTAAGATTAAGTTTCTCATTAAACTTAACCTGTGATGTTCCAGTGATCAGGTAAAGAGTTCCGCCTATTGGAGCACAATAGTCCTGGGCATATATCCCTATTTTTAGTTCGTACTTTAACCACTGACCTGAGTTGAAATTCCCAATTTGCGGCACGCAGTTGGTGTAGGTGAAAGTGGCAAGAACACTTTTATCGCTGTAACGTAAGATGTTAACAGGAACGAGGTGACCTTTGTGGTATCTACCCGGGAAAGGTTGGTTTTGATACAATGCACTGCTTCCTTGACGAATCCCTGATCATGAGAGAGTTTTAAAGTACGCTGATGTCAGTCACAAGCCAAGAAATTTTGTTCTCTATCGATCTGCTAGGTAAATAAAGTTTTCACCCTCCCAATCACGGTTGCAAAATGTTAAAGCGAATTATCTCAGATAAGTCAAGGAAATTGTTTGCTTAAAATGATTTACCCATCATGTACGACTCTTCTCACAAGTCTCTCCTCTTTCCATTCGTATTTTTGCTCCATTTTACCTGTAGTGTAATACCGTCGCATGTTTTGCGTGCACCGTACGCGTTGCCTTAATGTGGTAAAATGGCGTTATGATGCATAATGTAAATGTATATCATATCTACCTAATATCGATCCATCCATCTATATACCCGTTTTCGAGTGTTTTAACTTTAAGTTCACGAAATACTCGCATGACCTCATCTCAGCATCCTATCGATCGCATTAGGAGTGCGTGAAAGACCAAAACAACACGACGAACAGACGTTGTAGTAGTGGGATGACAAACGGATTTATTTTTTTCCTAAATTTCTTCATTAAAAAAGGAAATTTAAACAGTAACACTGATTAACTTACCTGGCGTCTTATCCAGTTGCCATGGGTCATTAGGTCTTGGTACTGGGTTTGTCTTGGCTTTCAAGGCTTGTGCGGCCGTAATCTTGTAGAGTGTGTACCGTGCAATTCTCCAATCATTATTATAGAAAATGGCATATTGATTGTCTGGGCAGAGGGGAAGGGTGACACCTGGCTGCTCTGGAAAGGCTGGTTTTTTATCACCCAATGAGAAGGAGTCAAGATCGCACGCTGGTACTACGCGACGTACTGGTTGTTCACCCAGGTGTTCTCCTTGCTCATCGTAATCTTTGACGCAAGAAAAAGTTGCCTTTTTATTCATATTATCAAATGTTCCTCAAAATTATGCTATATTTCATAAATCTTATCCTTTATAGAGATTATTCATTCGAAAGAAGATGACGACTACCTCCACAGGGGTCCGTGTGTTATTCTTCCATTCGATTCTCACTCTAGGGTAATGATAAAAGTTAATATTTCAATCTTTGATAAATCTGCTTTTTTTAATTGTTTTGCTGAACAAAATTAGAGCTCGAGTGAGAATATCTGTCTTTCTATAAAACGTTCTTTAAAGAAATGCAGTTTAGGACCATATGTAATTTTCATTTTAAATTTTTTTGAAAAAAAGTTTTTTAAAATTGTTTTGCTGAATAAAATCTGTCTTTCCGTAAAACATTCTTCAAAGAAATGCAGTTTAGGACTATTTGTAATTTTCATGTTAGCTCTATGAGCTCTACAACAATTAAATTTTCGTATACAAATCAATGAACCGGTCATTTGTCTTTTATCGCCTGGGAAAAAAAGGGGGGTGAGGGGATGGGAGTGGGGTTGTTGTAGTATTCTAATGATTCCCACTCATCTACAATCAATTTCCTATAGTTTTCCTTTTATACTCTGTAAAACAACGACCGATCCCCAATTCGTTCTCTTGAAAACCATATGAACCCCCAAAAAAATACTTTGGCCCCCTAAAATTCTCCTTCCATTCCCCCCTCTCCCCCCATGTGATAAATGTTGGTTGCTTCCTAATGCAGAATTAATGGTGTATTGTTCCGGTTAGGAGAAATTTGAAAAAATCTTTGAAACACATTTCATCAGCCATGATGACCAAAATTGAAAACTGACCGTAGAGTTTGAGGAAGGAGGCTCTCTTTTTCTTTGAATTTTGGAGGACTGGCTTGCCGTGTGAACTTCTTTGAAGACTAGCGTAACCTACCACAGTTTAGCCAACGTTTATCTAACTTTCGTTGGGTCATCTGCCATCCTCACAAAGTTAAAAAAAGAAAAGAGACCAAAACTCGAAACAAAAGTCAATTTTCAATTAGTCGCTTGATCGGCCCATCGAGCGTACGCCAAATATCTTAGTTTTCTTCTTGTACTAAAGATGCAACGATTTGCTTGCTAAACTTCTCTAGGAAAAAACTTCCGTGAGATAAAAATTAAAGTCCATCACAATTTCTTTTGTTCTACTGTAAATTGTTTTCAGCAAGTAACAGATAGTGTATCTCAAAGTTTAATTTTTTCTAGAAGTACGTAGTTCAAAATTTGTCGATCAAACATCCATATGTGAAGGTTTACGTTTAGATCTACTATCGGAATCGAATTAACAACCCACACAGGGTTGAACAGGGTTGAACAAGCTTGCTGTATGTTTGCAAAAATTTAAAAGTAACTACCGCTCTTAAAGGTGTGTCTACTGAAGAACTGTAGCGTTTGAGACTGAGAAAAAAATTTCCGCCGTAAAATAAGTTTCAAGGGTGCCTTAGACAAACTTTGCACGCCCGCTCGCGTTTGAGTTACAGTTTCAGATGGCTTATGCAGGAGCAACGCTTAATCCAAAGAATACAATACGCGTGTGCTAAAGAGATTCGACATGAAGGAAACACTTTTTTACCTTTTCCTGAGGTTTTTGTCACATTCGTTGCAGCCCATGTTAAAGTGGTCAGCTGAACTGCTACAAGCAACGCCAAGGGGAAAGCGAAACCAAGAAAGTTCATCTTCACCGTATCGTCACAAAGGGATACAACTGTATAGGGTTATCTTGACTGCTTAGCTGTGTGATCTCTTCACTATGTTGTGTTCTTATAAGCTTTTAAGATTTTTGTGACAGAATACATTACATAATTTATCTCGTCACAATTACCACATAAGAATTCATGGCATCTTAATGGATCTCATGGTTCACTTTGTCTCAATTTTTTTTTTTGACATCCAATGTTGTCATCGTATAGAAAAAAACCTCTCTTCAAAGCTAAAAGGGCTGCTTGAAACAAAAGATGTGAATACCTACAGGAAATAGAGAAGAACTTTTAAAGTATCTTATGACACCCAGTCTGATTGAATAAGCAATTGATTTCGAATCTACTGCTGGTGACCTTAGAAATTTTTTGCCCAAGTCAACCTGTAAGTCAATAAATACCTTTAAGAGAAATATTTTTACAAATGTTTTAGCTTCTTCTCGGAAAAAAATTAGCAACCAAACATTTTCAGCTGACAAATAGGCCACTAATTAATATGACTTTATCCGAAATATGAAGCTCTTGGACCCCATATCCTCACTCCAACTGCTTACAAAAACTCTTACATATTTAAAATATATCAAAGTTTACACGGCAACCAGGAGGACAATCAGACATGGTTTGATGCTACTCTGGTTTGCAGATTTAATGAATGTAACCGAAGAAGTTTCAATTCATAGACCCAATGCTTCGACACTCCTGTCTAGTGCCTTCATCAGGGGTGATCTAAACGCTACAACAAGAGGTCCTTTTATATAATCACTAATTAGCGGTCTTTTTTTTCTGACGAGGTGTAAATAGGCGTCAGGAAGCAAACCGCCATCGTCACGATTTAAATGAGCTTGGGCGGAGTCAATGCCAAGCCTCCAAACAAAGGCGCTGGTGGTAACACCGGTTAATGGTGATAATTTTAGAATTATCTCACGAATTGTATGGTTGGTTAGACATGTGTACTCTGATAAAGCAGAATTTTCCTTTTTACAAAAGAAAACCGCTTTTTGATGCTCTTTTAAACGTGTACCAAACTGACGTTTGGTCTGTCCGATGTATTCGTGGTCACAGTCATTGCATGGAATAGAATAAATAGCGTCGGTTCATTGTTCTTTCGTGACAGGATCCTTAGGTTTGGCGAAAATATGCTCCAAAGTCTGAAAAGGTTTTTGAGCAACTTTAACGTTGTGGCTATTTAAAATTCTCTTGATGGGTTCGGTAACACCTTGAATGTAAGGAATAACAGCAAAACCAGTAGCTGGTTCCCTTTCATCAAGAGCGTTACTAGTTGTAACTGGTTTTTGGCAGTCACGGAAAAAGGTTTTTGTATAGCCATTTGCCTTTAGGACATTAGAAACATATTTCCTCTCCTCAGCCTTCGAATCAAGTGAAGATGGTAGACAGTTAGCCCTCCTAAGTAAAGTTTTGGCTACAGATATTTTATGGCAAATAGCGTGGTGAGAATCGAAAGCGAGGTATTTGTCGGTGTGAGTAGGTTTACGGTAGACACTTGTCTCTAAACTCCCCTGAACCCCTCTAGACACATTTAAATCAAGAAAAGGCAAATGTCTATCCTTTTCACTCTCAAGGGTGAATTGGATCGAAGGCTCTACTGAATTCAAATGCGACAGGAGGTACTCCGCTTCATTTCCGGATACCGCAGATATAACATCATCGACATATCGTTTCCAGGAAAAGGGTTTAACCGGTGAAGTGGCTTAGGCCCTTTGTTCCATATCTTCCATTACCATGTTAGCAATGACAGTAGAGACAGGCGAACCCATCGCTGTACCAAAAACTTGTTGATAGTAGGTGACGTTATATGTAAATTGCGTGGTTTTGAGCCAAAAAGATTGCAGAGGAATAATATCCTCCACAGGCAAAGAAGTTCTTAGCCCTGGGGGGGCATCTTCTCTGAGTCTCTCCTCCGCAACCTTAACGGCAAGATCAACTGGGATTTTAGTGAAGAGCGGAACAACGTCGAAAGATACTAGTTCTTCACAAGCGTTGAGAGTTTTATCTCTTATAAATCCGCAAATTCGCAGGAATTTTTGACAGTGTAATCAGTATTCCCAACAACAGGCGACAAAATTCTCGCATGATAACCACAAAAGAGACAATGGGTCTCAAAGGAATTCCCGGTTCACGAATTTTAGGTAAGCCATAAAAACGTGGACATAAGCCGTTACTACTGTATAACATTTTGTACGTAGAGTCACTAATTTTACCAGCTTTTTTCAAATCAAGCAACATTTTGTTTAACTTTCTTTAAGTTTTACTGGTAGGATCAGAGGTTAAGACAGCATACGTATTCTTTTCATTTAGCAAAGACAAAGCTTTGTCGTTATATTGCTGTTTTTCCATAACCACAACACAACTACCCTTGCCAGAGACCTCTTACTGAGCAAATGACGGAATTTTCTGTCGTGTTTCTCTCTCTGTTTGGTAAACGTCTGTAGTTCTTTCGAACTGCAGAACTCCTCGACCTAGGAAGTTTCGGAGTCGTTAATCAAAGCATAGAGTTCACTGAGTCAACGAGAGAATAACGCACGCAAACGCAGTATGGAACTGTGACATTCATCTATTCGTTGCTTAAGAAAATAAAAACCAGTACGGACCATGAGCTTGTATCCTCTGGCACTCCGTAAAGGAGGCCGAAATCTCAAACTCGATGGAAGCACATAGTTTTCTTTACAACGGTGCTTGAAATACAAATGACAGCGATACTTAGCAATGCGAACTCTGATGTTCGCAAGCCGGTTGACCTTTGTAACAACAGTTTGACCGTACTTTTCTCGCAAATGAAATATATTAAAGTTCACACGGCAACCAGGTGGACAATCAGACATGGTTTGATGCTACTTTGGTTTGTAGATTTTTTTAGATTTTATTTTTAGAATTATCCCACCCAATTGTATGGTTGGTTAGACATGTGTGCTCCGATAAAGCAGAATTGTCATTTTTGCAAAAGATAACCGCTTTTTGATGCTCTTTTAAACGTTGTTCTTTCGTGACAGGATCCTTAGGTTTGGCGAAAATATGCCCCAAAGTCTGAAAAGGTTTTGGAGCAACTTTAACGTTGTGGCTATTTAAAATTCTCTTGATGGGTTCGGTAACACCTTGAATGTAAGGAATAACAGCAAAACTAGTAGCTGGTTCCCTTTCATCAAGAGCGTTACTAGTTGTAACTGGTTTTTGGCAGTCACGGAAAAAAGGTTTTTGTATAGCCATTTGCCTTTAGTGGGTGAGATAATTCTAAAATTATCACCACTAACCGGTGTTACCACCAGCGCCTTTGTTTGGAGGCTTGGCATATTAACTCCGCCCACGCTCCTTTAAATCGTGACGATGGCGGTTTGCTTCCTGACGCCTCTTTACATCTCGTCAGAAAAAAGACCTCATTAAGTTTTTGGTTAGATTCTAGTTTTTAATTAGGCTTTTTTAATTAGGTTTTTAACTTTTATTTGTTTTTAATTAGCTTCTAATTATTTCTTCTTTTTGTGGGGTTCTTAGTGTCCGTCTACACGTCCAAATATTTTACATTTCTTACATGCATATATATATTCATCATTACATTCTTACCATTCGCTTGAAAATGACCGAAGTTTGGTCGAAACGTCCTGTTTTACCGTTGATTTCTACTTTAAAAAGTTTTACCAAATCACTATTGATCTAATTAATAGTTTCTAAATCTTAGTTACATTTAAGATAAAAAGGAAATTTTTTCTGTCCTTGACATTCACTACCAAATAAATTACCCCTAAAATGGAGAAGAACTACATGAAAAAGTTTTCTTTTCCTTTAGTCGTTTCTTTCTAAACTAGAGAGGCGTATATTGCCTGTTTAATTTTTTTCCAGTGATTTAGAAAGTGGACAAAAATTCTTCTCTCGCTAAAAGACAGAGCAGCGCTATAGACTGGTCTTAAAATCAAACAAAATGTTCTTTCGACTTTTGACTGTTATTAGATACTAGTTACGGTTAAATGAAGAGCTTGCACTTTGGTGTTTTTTTCTGATGAATAATTCACGTTGACGTACCAGCCTGTGAGAAGCATAGGATTCGTTTTGTCAATTTCTAGCTTATTTTTCACTTGCTCTGCACATCAGTCTCTTATGAAACTTATAATTATACTTTTGACATTCTAGGTCCATGGAGAAATGAGTATTAAACCCTGTTCTCTACTAATTCATAATCCTTGTGGAATTCGCTGTTTTCAAACTAAGTTTGCCTTTTATCTCGCAAAGAGTTTGATAAAAGGGCAAATTTAATTCTTCTGGCGAACACTGTAAAACATATTTCTTTAAACTGCGCTGGCCAAGTAATCGTGGTAACTAGTTATATTTTAGTGTTTTAATTAATTACAATACTGATACACCGTAATATAAATGGTAAGCAATTTCCAATACAAGAAGTATTTTAAATCTCACATCGATAGATACTCAAAACAAATATTCATTTTTTGCTTCAGTAGCTCGAAGCCACTTTGAATATAATTCTCTGTGAAAATGCATTATCAATGAAAGAAAAAACAAACCCCACTCACACTTTGTAATAAAAAATAGCTGGATTCCTTCCCCTTGTAAAAAATCTCGGATAGTTTTGGTTAGCATCAGATTGCGCTTAAAAAAATATCAATAGTATATGTGTATGATTCATTAGAAAGGTATTGAATCCTTTGAATCCTTGCTCGTGTTTTAGCAAATGAAATAAATCAGCTTTGTGTAGCCCACGAGCAGGTCGTCATTGACGAGAAGTCGGCATCAGGTCTGGTACTAGGTATTATGAGTGCCAGACCCCTCCCTGGCTCGCTTTTCTCAACGCTTCAATTCTTCACGCAAGCAAAGAAACGCTTGTACTTAAGCGCCAATAGATATATTTCATCAGACGTTTTGGTGAGTAGTATCACAGAGTAATTTTGCGCGTAGTATCGCGAAGTATTTTTGATAAGCCCGTAGGGCGAGTCAAATCACAAACAATGGGTAACAATACTCAGTGATACTACACACCAAAACGCCTAATAAGTTATTTATTATCTAACTGCTTTTTTCTTCCAAATCCTTTATTATACGCGCGCAGCCAACCCGCTAAATAGGTTTTTACACAGTACACAACAACCAACTGTCCAAATAACCATACTATGTCGCAGGA